CACATGTCTACTTGTAGCAAAACAGGCCCCCAAAGCAGATCAACTAACCCTAAACCCTAAACCCTAAACCCTAAACCCCTAAACCCCTAAACCCCTAAACCCCTAAACCCTAAACCCTAAGCCCTAGCCACTTCGAGGCTGCTGGCGTCTTTGACCAAATGCGGGAGAGAGCGGAGATGTCCGCAGAGGTCGATCTGAGAGTCAAGGACCAGGGGTGTATCAGGAAGTAGGATTAGGGGGACCCTTGGGGATAAAGGGTTTAGGGTTCAGGGTTTAGGCTTTAGGGGTTTAGGGTTTAGGGTTTAGGGTGTAATGGTGCACGCAGCATGGCGCATGCATCCTAATTGGTGCGGGTTCATCATGGTGCATTCATCATGATACATTCTTCATGTCATGGTGCACGCATCTGGTGCATTCATCATGGCTCCATCTTGGACTATAGGGTGCACGCGAGAACTTCTAGGGCTCTTGTGCACACTGTAGGATAGGCCTTAGAGGTGTTGCGAGCGAATTTGCCGAAAGCCAAGATGGTTGGCTCTATCAATAGGGGGTAAACGAGGGCTCCTAAAAAGGCTCTCGTGGCACCACAGAGACTCTCGTGACTCTAGGTAAGGTTGCTAGGCATCTTGGCTCCATTCTAGGCGAAAGGGTATACACGAGAGCTTGTAGGGCGGCCTACGGTTGATGATACAAATCCTGCATTACCCATCATAGGGAATGTACCACAATTCGCATGGTTTACGGTCCTTTAGGTAATGCAGGATTTATATCATCAACAGTAGCGCTAGGGTTTGAACTAGTTGTTGCGAGAGAATTTGACTTCCAGTCTTCATTATGAGGAGACCTTCCAATCCCAGCATGCTTTTCACGAAAGTTGGACTCCATCAGCAAACCTTCGGCCCCGCGTCAGCCAAGCACATTCTGCTATGAAGGGCGCCCTGATGTCTCCAGTGGTGATGGTCGCCCTTGTTGCTAGAGCCTGTTGGAGCGAGTGCTTGGCCGATGAGACTTGCAGTGGAGAGCCAGACATGGCGGAACTGCTGCAGGCCAAGGCCAGCGTCCAGGCCAACATCCAGAGAGAACTCGTCCAGGAGATGACTCGCCGCGAGATGATCAAAGTTGCGGCCAATCACACCTGTGCAGAAGCTTGCGGCATGTTGGGTGGATTGTGTCTCTCCAGCTCCTCCAGCCAACCCTGCGAGCGCCGCCTTGCAGACGGGGATAAGGCATGGGCCTGCTCGTGCGACATCTCTGTCGGGCTCCTTGACGCTGGCCCGTACAAGCCAGATCCGAGTGCAAAGCTGTCAGCATCCCCGTTCCTTATGACCCACGACTCAGCGACGGGCTACATCGGAGACAGGGACTTCATCAAGCGTCTCTTCGCGCAGGCTCAGTTTGTGAACCTCAAGGTTCAGTTGGACTGTGGGGCTCGCGCCTTTGACCTGCGGCTGGTGCAACATGATGGCAAGATATACTTTCACCACGGAGAAACTCCTGTTGTCAATTGGATGTCGGACCAGACGCTGCCCGAAGAACTGCCGGGACTAGTTGGCTGGGCTGGCGAACACCCTGACGAGTTCGTGATCATCTCGGTTAGCCACTGCGCTCACAAATACCTAATCAAGTACGATCGAAAACATTGCACTGACGAAGAGTTTGTCAAGCCATTCACGGATGCAGGAGTTGCCTTTGAGTCGGACTGCGACAAGCTGCGCAGCATGACCCTTGCTGATGCAATGGCTGCCAGTGCCTTGAGCAACGGGGGCACATGGTTGCCATCTATGGCGACTGCGTGAACGGCAATTGGAACAGCAGTGTAGACAGCATCGAGAAGGTCAAGCCGTACGTGGCTGGGTTCTTGTTAAGGGATGTAATTTAAGTTACCAAAATAAGGAAACCATATTATTTACTATAGATCCCTATTATGGTAACTTAAATTAAATCCCTTAACAAGAACCCAGGTGGTCAAGACCATGGCCAAGGAAAGAGGCTCCGTGGACCTCTTCATGGTCCAGTCTTTCATACAGCAGAAGCTCTTGGTTATGCAAAGCTTCCAACTCAACAAGGACATTGCCTCTTGGATCACGAACTCTGACCTTTATGATGGTGTGAACTTCCTCGAGATCAACACAACCTGCACCTACGGCATGACGATCTCCAGTGCACTGGGCGCAACGATCTCCAAGACAGATGCCGACACTTGCATCAAGCACTGCAAGGAGAGCTGCCCGGCATGTCTGAATGACTGAGTGTTCTGAGAGCGTGGCCGAGACTAATAATCTGAATCTCAACTTGGAATGATATTCTTTAACTAGGTTCCCCAGTAGTACCCTTTTTGCCCTTTTTATTTGGGGGTCTCCTTATTAAAGCCGAATATTAGGAAAAAGGGTACCCTTATTATTAAGGGGTTACTGGGGAACCTAGTTAAAGTCAGGGGATCCTCAGGGAGAATGACACAGAATGATCGGCCATGTCCTGTGCTTGCAGATGAAGCCCCGGAGCCGCAAGTGCTCGGACGTCCATGGTTTAGGGTTTAGGGTTTACAAGTTGAAGAAGGATTATGTTTCCTTGCTGAAATGCCAGAAGGCTACCCATGAACCCCCAATTTTTGACATTCGATTAGTTAGGCCTAGACCTAATTAGCCTTAGCTGTCCCAAGTGCACCGTGATAATATGTCAAGTTAGATGAACCGCCACCCTCCCCAGATTTTTGTGCTTTGCAGAAAAGTGCAATAAAAGCGTATTGTTACCAGGGTTCTATATTCAAGCGCCCACCGAACAGTCCCAAAGCCTGCTTCTTTGATATGTAGTCAGTCCTAACTTGCAAAGAGGCAATAAGTAGGATCGGTGGTTATCTTGAGGCAGGCTTTTGTTGACAAGATCCCCAGGAAGTATGAGGAATAGCGATAAATGCGACAAGCTGTGTACCAACTAAGGGTACTTTAGACAGCACCGTCCAGAAGGTCAGACAAGCACTCGCGGCAAGTAGTTGGATCTGCTTTGCCTATGCGCAACTGCTCCAAATTCGGCCAATGAGTTTCCTCTGCCTGGCTTGCATCCACGTGAGCCCTATAACCCTAAACCCTAAACCTTAAACCCTAAACCCTAGACCCTGAATCACAAAATGAACGGGCAAAGCGAGCACCCCCTGGCTCCGAACTTCGGCCTGAGACATAATATAGGGGCCGTAATAATTAGAATAGGGTTTGGGGATCCAATATACTACAATTTTAATAAGGAAGCCACCAAAAGGGCCTTAATAATTAGAAGAGGGTTTGGGGGTCCCATATACTATAATTTTTAATAAGGAAGCCACCAAAACCCAATTCTAATTATTAAGGATCCTTTCTTAGGTTGCCTGGGCCTCCTCCCAGAGTAGAATGAGCCATTGAGGCCTAACCGGATCCTCAGCGGGCCTCGAGTTTCAAGGTTGACAAAGATCGCCTTGCCAGCCACTTGCTGGAATGCAGCTTGGCTTTCTTGCATACCTTCTGCGGCTCCCCTCCCGCCCGCGGGACCACGCATGAAAATCTGCGTGCCTATGCCCTAAACCCGAAACCCTAAACCCTATGTGGCCTGTGTGTGCCTGTCCCAAAAGCTCGTATTACGTGCCAGCCTCCTGCTGGAAGAAAGCATCTTGAAGCCTGGCCCCTGGCCAGCAGAGCGTGTGATGCCCGTTTGAAACTATCGAGTCGCCAAGGGAGCAGGAGTCAATCTGCCAGCATCCCCAAGTCTTGTCGGGTTTTTGGAGTCTGATATCTTGTCACCTAAACCCTAACCCAGAGAGCCCAATACCCCTTGATTAAGGAATATACCTTAAATTATAGGGGCCTTAATCTTATGATTTAAGGTATATTCCTTAGTTAAGGAAACCATAAAACCCTATAAAACCCTATAAAACCCCAAAAAAACCCTATATTCCTTAATTCAGGGGTATATTGGGCTCTCTGGGA